GATAAATTAATATTAATAATAGAATGGTCATCATAGGATTTAAAATGGAATGTCATATAAAAGATATCAGTTGATTATTATGGGTACAATTTATTCACATCTTAACCTTTAGCAAAAGAGTAGATGCATGTTTATGAGATGAGTAGTACTAATAAAAAATACTCAAAAATAAACGAAATTACTGTTAAAATCGGTTATAATGGTTGTTATTATTACTTTCCTTAATAATATATAAGGTTGAAATATTTAGTTGTCAATAAGAATGGATACAATGTTAATTTAATAAGGAACCAAAATGGTGATTTTATAACACAATAATCTATTGATTTTGGACACTATAATATATTTGGATTTATGAGTGAAGATGGAGAGTATCTAATGACTTGGGAGGAAAATCAAAGGAAATTTAAATAAGAAAATATTATTAGATATGAAGAAGAATTAAATATTATTAAAAAAATTAATATTATTTATTTATTTATTATTTTATATGTTATCAATGATAAAATATTATTATTTGGTTTATTAAAAGTAGAGGGATATATAGATAAATGTTAAAGAGCAAAAATAAGCATAATCCTTAAGTAGATAATAAATTTTTATGACATTTAAAATTTTATTTTCATAATTTAATATTAACTTTGCAATCACTGCAAAAAACTTAGCCTTAGATTAAGAAATTTTAGAGGTAGAAAAGTATAAGATTAAAATGACTTAAACTAAATTTGATAAAGCCATTATTAAATAAAGTATCTCAAACACGAAGTTCAATTTCAGATAAAATGGAATGCTAGTTTGTGTTATACAAGAATCAAAGTTTGTAAATAGAATAAATAAAATTGGTTTTTGTAAAACTATCTAATTTAACTAAATTAAGTTTTAAGTATTTTTTTAAGAAGTTTATTTATATCACAAAAAGCATTAAATTCAATAAAAATTATGACATTTGCAATTTTTTAACAACAGTTAAAATACATTATATTCATATATTTCATTTCCTAAACTAATTTTAAAAAATAATTATTAAAATACCTGTATCAAAATGAAATTTAATGATAGAAAATTAATGGCTATCAATATGACTAAAAAATTATTTCTATATCATATTTAAAAAAAGAAAATAAAGTAAAAATACCATTAAAAATTATTTATCTACATAAAAGATTTGTATCCTTATAAAACTCGCTAAATTACCTTAAATTACTTTACTGAAAGTAAGTCTATAAAGTATTCTAGATTTAATACATTTATTCAAAGAAAATAACTTATAAGAATTAGTTGAATCAATCATCAGCGTAATTGATATATAATTTTTATTCTCATCCTTCAATTAATTCTTTTAAACATAATTATTTATCTTATTCATGTTCTTTACTGGGTAAGTGTTCTTTAGTTAACATTCTTTTTTATTCGTTTTTTATCATTTTCTGATTTGTTGCACTTTTCCTTCTATCAATAACTTATCTGATTTCTTTCACTTAATTTCACATTAAGACTTAAACTATTACTCATTTTAGAAAAATACTTTATATATCCAAGGCTTAAGAGTAAACTCTAAATTATTTCATATTTGATGCCAAGAACCCACTAAGATCATCAAGAGCAGCGTATATGTTTTCAGAAAGGACTTTGAAATTCTAAGACCAAGAATTCTCAGGATACTTAGTTAAAAAATTTTTTAGAATTAAAACTATAGATCTTGATGTTTTCACTCTTAATAAAAAATGCGACATTATATGGATACTATATGCCTTTTATCTTGTCAAGCCCACATCTGTTGATCCAAATTACTCCATAAGATCTTTTACAGTTTTATTCGTTATTTATTCGAAAATATCGTTATAGCCTAATAATTACTATTACTAACATTAATTTATGATTTATCATTCAGATATACACTATTATTGGTGAAAATGCTACCAACATTTATGCTAATTACTGAAATATTTTCCTATTGATATAACTACAAGGAAATAAATCTTGTAATATTGAAAGATAGAGAAAAATCTTAGCAATCATTTAGTAGATCTAAATCAAGCTTGAATTATTTTAGATCTTTGACTTGTTTATTTCATCAGTATTTTCAATCAAAAGGGCTTTGTGAGTTTTCGGATAAATAACTTTACAATAAATTTTAATTTGATTCTTATGTTCAAAACACTCTAAATTATAAATATTTATAAAAATACTTTCCTTCTTGATTCAATACAATTTAGTAGGGTATTATTTATCATTGATAGAAAAATAGCCATAAAAATTAGATTAAATTTGGTTGCATGATATAATTGTTGGAAACATCTTTAAAGAAAATATTTTTATTTACTGACTTCTGATTAGTGCTCTAGTTAATCGAGTATTAAATTTTATTATATTAAATTAAGTTTCTAGAAGTTAGAAAGTTGAGGTTCTCCAACAGATAATCCCTGCTTCCAATCCATAGCGTAGGAAGTGAGGACAGCAAAAAAGAACCTAAATATCCAGTTCATGTAAAAATAGGTCCCCAGCCGACCTAATGGAGGTTCCTAGAATCATTGAAGTCTGATAAACTTACGATCCACTAGACATAATATTTAGGAAAAGAAGTAGTTACAATTCAATACGCTGTTTGAGAGTTAGATTAGCTTACCCTATCTCTCTGGGTCACTTTCAACCTTAAGCCTCGATTATTAGTTTGAACCCAGTTTATTCTGGGTTGATGGATCAGATTTATTTTCATTACAATATTTTTTACCCATAGGATCTATCGATTTTAACTAATAATGATATCATTTTCATGGAGGAAACTGGAAATGAGATCTCACTCCTTTACCTTATCTTTAAAAGGCCTTTCAGATCTCCTAGTCTAGAAATTATTAGGTTTCCATCCAATGAAAAAAGCTTTTTTTTTTCATTTCTTATTAAAGAGAATCTATTATTAAGAGTATTGTATTAAATTATAAGATAATATTGATTGTGAGATTTAATCTATATGTTTTTCTACATCCTAATAAGTAATTCCATATCATATTACATCTAGAAATCTAAAAATTTATATGCAATTTCGCAATAAAAGTCTCAGTTATTGTGTCACACTACTTTTATTTGGAATTTCCCTATTTTTAAATTAGTTTTTGGCAGTATTATTTTACTCTTTATTTAGCTTATATCAATGAGACTAGGATAACTCTCTTAAATAATAATATTTAAGATTATACTAAATACTTAGTTAGCAAACTATCTACCTGAGGTATATATATGAGTTCTTAATAAATCAATTTAAAAGAAAATGAAGAAAAGTAGAACATAAATTATCAAAGAATTTTTGTATTAACTTTAAAATCTTTCCTAGAGATAAAGGGATTAGAAGCCTGAGAATGGGTTAATAAAACCTTAATTTTAATGATCATAAAAAACAAGAGTTTATTTATTTAATAGAGTTGATAAGGAATGATTATCCTGATGAATAACAAATTAAAAATATTTATTGAATGCCATTTGTTTGTGAATTAATTTATGATATAAATAGATCGAATTAATTAGACTTTTTGTTACATGAAATAGATAAAAAACCTTTATCAAAAGAGTAAAACAAATTATTATGATTATCATTTATACTAATTTATGTTAACGCTAATAAAATTTTGCAGTGGATTTTCATAAAACCTTTTAATTTATTTTATTTTTTATAAATCTTGCTTTCTTTTATAGTTTTTCCATGCTTTATTAATACATTCAATTAAGTCGATGATTAAATTTGTTAATAACATTAAACTAAAAAGGGCAATATGAATCCATCCATAAAGTAATAGCTAATTATCATCCAATTCAAAACTATAAATTAAAAATGATCCTGTTATTAGAATAAATAGAATTTCTTTAGATATTAATTTAGTATATTCATACTTAGACTAAATAGGTTTAAATGTTAATAAATATATTAGATAAAAAAATGAGGACATTGAAAGTAATATCGATTATATTTATGGAGCTACAACAATCATAAATATATAATACATTATTCTGTAGATCTGAAAGGATTTATAATTAGCAGCCCAAAATTAAGGTTTTGAATCTAGATGAAAATATAACCATTTATTTTTATCTTTTTTACTAGATGATGTAATAGAAAGTAATTATAAACTTAAATATATTATTATTAATAATCCAATAATTGCATTTACACTATTAAAAGCCATTAGAGGGGAATTGAAGCAGTAATCAGGAAATTATAATAAAGCACTAAATAAAAATTAATGAAGTATTGCTAAATATACTTTAAATATTCCAAAAGAAAAGTATTCCTTTTTGAATTTAAAACAAAATTTTAGAATTTTTTTTTAAAAGAATTGATCAATAAGTAAGTATCTATATTTATGTTAAAATTTTTTTTATGAAAGAAATTAAATTTGTGAGATGTGAACAGCTGACAAATAAAATATGTGATTAATGAAACAATTATAGAAAAGTAACAACTTTTAGCATTCAGTAAATAAAATTAGTTTAATGGATTTAATAAATTTTAATCTTATTTTTTACTTTGAAATGGCAAACTTCCTCCATTTAAATAAGTTAATATTTCATCTATTCTAATATAATCCAATATTGGTTTTAATGATACTTTAGTAAAAGTGTTCAAAAATTATATTAAATGAGGTGGAAATGAATATTACATATATTTAATATAGGATAAAGACTATAATAGATCTAATAAATTGAAAAACATTATGGCATTTCCTGTTATTAGTGATAACCCTGAAATGCTAATCATTGAATAAATCATTCCATCATTAAGAAGTACAATTTATTTCACTTTTTTTTGAATTGCCTCAGATAATACAAAAGGATTGCCAATTCGGATTTGTATCTTATTATTCATAATCTCTAAATCTTGTTCATTTTTAATCATTAATTAAGCCAAATCAATTTAAAGAACAGGATCCTTTACAGGTTCTATGAAATCAACAAAAATCTAATATATTGGATTATCAAATGTAGTAGATAGCTTTACTATTGGCTTTATATTAATAGCTGCATGAATTTATGGAATAAGGTAGACAGCTGCAATATCTTCAAAGCTTAAATCAGCTAATAATTTGACTTTTTAAGTGAATCTTAATTCAATAACTTAAGTTTGGTTTTTTTAAGTAGAAAGACGATTTAATATAATGTCAGGAGGTAAAATATAAGAACATAGACTCATACTGCCTTCATGATTTTTACATTAATAGGAATCTTCTTCATTACAAAAAAATGAACAGCCATCTCCTCCAATTAAATTTCCGTCATCGCATTGTTCATATTATAAATTAAGAATTCCATTTCCACATTAATTGATACATTGATAATCTATTAAAATAAAGTTTTGGCTGCATACTATATTATATTTATTCTCTTTATTCTAATCATCTAAAGGGATAATCTCATAACATTGAGCCGTTTCATTATTTAAAATATATTGATTATTGCACTTTTTACAACCTTATCCATTTTCACAATCAAGACATCCTTATGAACATTCAAATTAGCATTTATAGCATCCGTCATTTGGTTTATTATTTCCATCATCACAATCCTCAAATCCATTGATAATAACACCATCACCACATATTGGTAAACATGATTATTCTTCTAATTGAAAGTGATCTTAACAAATTAAACAAATATCATTATTTAAACATGAAAGACAATAAGGAATACATTCAAGTTTGCAATCAAACATCCATCATTTTCAATCAAATTTGCATCATCACATTGTTCAATAGAATGCTAAGCAATTAATCCATCTCCACAATAAGAATAACATTTATTATCAATAAGTTACCATCCAATTTCACAAAGCTAAAATTTCGAATCAATGCAAAATTAACACCTTAAATCACAATTTGATTAACATTTGTAACATCCATCAAATGGAATGTTATTATAATCATCACAAGCTTCAAATTGTTAAATGATACCATCATTACATAAAGGCATGCAATATTTTCTATTTAAAGACAATGTAAATCCATCTATACATTATAAACAAATTCCAAATTAACAAATTTAACAAAATTCTGTACATGAATATTTACATTAATAACAAGAATAATTGGAAATTACTTTAGTATCATCACATTATTCTTAACCTCTAATGATTCCATCACCACAAATTGGATTACAATTTTCTAGAAATTCATCTAAAATCCAACCTTCTAGGCAAATTAAACATTTATCATCAATTTAATCTAAACAACCTTCTTTCAAATTATTAAATAATATTTCTGGTTAAGTGTAAAACACTTCAAAATCTCTTAAATTACTATATTACTAAGATGATTGGGTTTTAATATTCAGTTAGAATATAGGGTCATGATGATTTCTTATAAATATTTCTATTAAATATCTAGAACTAATAATCTCCTTACCATAGAGATAATCAACTATTATAGTAATCTCATCATTTTTAAAAAACCTTATTAATACATTTTAATGAGAAGGTAGTTATGTATAATATTTAATTTCCTAAATTACCAAATATTAGCAGTTTCCACATTAGAATACAGTCATATAATTTGATTGAAAAGTCCATCCTTCAGAAGCAGCTAGAAATTTCTAATTAAATGAATATTAATGCAATTTCCATTAGAAGTAGATTTCCTGATAATTCTCTATGCATCCAGGAGATTCATACTAACATTTAATAATACTTAATTTTAATGATATTAATCCTCCTAAAGGTTATTTAATATGAATCCAAATAGTTCTTCTTTTATGTGAAAGAAGTATTGAAATAGTATCTAAGTATTCTGGTTGTGTATTACCACAAATTGAGTTTAAATTAGATATCTCTTATTCATAATTTGTAGATTAATGGTCTATCGAAAAATTAACTTGATTATTGTTATCAATTCTTTTGACATAACAAATGATTCTTACTTAAGAAATTATGCTTCCACCATAAAATGAGAATGAGGATCTAGATCTAAAATTATTTGACTAATTAACAAACTAGATTAAGGTGACCCCAAATATTGAATCCCTCCTAAGAAATTCTTATTCTAATAAATAATATAACAATATCAATTGATGATCAAATTCTTTAAAAATATCCTAATTGAATGCTATTTTTTAAATAAGAATATTGATCACAATTTTATTTTCAAAATAAAGGTTCTATAAGAAAGATATTAGAGTAATTTTTTTTAAAGCCCTAATTTTGGAATTAAGAAAGTTCTTTAAAAAAAAAATGATTCATGTAGGTACATAATGTATTAAATAATTTGTGTTTTGCTAATTTCAAAATCCATGATAATTAATTTACTTTTGAATGTTCTTATAAAAATATTAGTATCTTTCTAGATTTACTCCTAATTTTTAATATCATTTATAATAATAAATATCTGGATTAATAAAGTTTGAAATATGAGAATTTATAAAAAATGATTACTTTTAAGGATTTCCTAATTATTACATATCAATTATCACTATCAATGAAATGTTTTAATGACATCATATGATATAATATTAATGCATCATTATTTTTAGTTTCTTAAATAATTTATATTTTAATTTGAATCTGTTGATTATTTACATAAGATTATGAAATTCTCCATAGCTATAATTGTTGTAACGATTATGACTATCGGATCTTGTACTTAAAAATCAATTTTATTTACTCGACATGGAGCTAGATCTCCAAAAATTTATACTGAAATTGATAGAGATTATTATTGGAATATTAATCCAGAAGATTTGACTGAAATAGGATTACAATAGCACTACGCATTAGGATAGAGTAAAATTGGAGCTCAAATTATGGATTTAAATGGAAATTGTATCTATGAGAACTTAGAAATTTAAGCCTCTACAGATTAAAGGGTTATATTATCTACTATTGGATTTTTAAAAGGGTTATGCCCTTTAAATTATGTTGATATTATAAAGAAATTCTTTAGAGAATATTATGCTTAATATTCTACAAATGCAGAAGCATGGAATCTAATAATGTCTTCTGATTTCAATAATCCTTTAGATTTGGATCTTCATTATTTTTTCAAACCTAATGATTTCTTGTTTCATGGACATTAATAAACTGTGTGTCCAGCATTGAAAAGTTTAAAAAAACAAATTTAAACCAGTGATTACTACAAATAAAAAGAAAAATCATTCAAAAGTAGATAAGAATTTGATGAGGTGTTTTTTATTATACAAAAAGCTTACCCAAGCAAAATTCTTAATAAACTTTCAATAACTCTAAGTGAAATTTAAGATATCTATGATGATTATTCTTGTAATAGAGTATAAGGATTTGTATTTCCAAATCCATCTAAATCTGCTGTTGAATTTATGGAAGAAGTTGTTAGATTTATTAGATATTATGAAGATAATAGTGAATTATTGGAAAATTAGGCATAGCTCACTGAACCTTTTAAATGGTTGATTTCTTAGTTATATTCTTCAACTCCATTTAGTTGGTATTCAGGCCATGAATCAAATTAATTTGCCATATTATCTGTAATATCTGATGTTCAACCAATCATTCCTTTTGCATCTTAATTAGATTTTATTGTTAAAAATGACTTAGTGATGATTTACTTCAATAAAATTCATATTTAAAGCAAATTTTGTGAAGATGGCTACTATTGCACAAGACAGTAAATAGTTAATTATTTGATGTAATACATTCATCCTGATATAAATTCTCTATGCAGTGTAAAATGATAATTTCTACATATCCTAACAACATTATCAAAAATTTAATCTATAACTTATTAAATATCCATATTAGACTGATGCCATAATCTAGTTATACTTCATTAATTTTAAGTGCATTAAAAAATGATGATAATTAGCTTGATTAAATGTTCTGGATTCTTTAGAGTTCATAAAGGTCATCTTTTTTTTCGCTCTCATTTTCTTAGTATTCTTGAATAGGTTTTTAGATAAAATACCTCTATGGTTTTTTCATGAAATTTTGCACTTTTTTTTATTTAAAATAATTTCTTCTAGAAAATAATTAGATATTTGTTTTGAGAAAAGTTATTTAATAGTATAAATATCAAGATTAACTGTTGATAATCTGTTTTAATAGATCAAAACTCAAAATAATAATCATGTTAAATGGAGAAATAAAATCGATGAGGCTAGATCAAATATTAATAACAAATGTTATTCATTAATTGATAATTATCATGAAAAGAAAAATATTCTATATTATCGTTATTATAATTGTTAAGATTCATTATTATTTGATTTTAATTTGATCTTATAGTTTCTTTTAATTTGAATAATTTTCTAAGAACAAAATTTCTGTAATTGATTATTAATTTTATTATTTATTGATGTATAATAATCAAATTCACATCAATACACATTTATATTTGCTATTAATTAATGATCTTTCATCTCAAAAAATTAATATTCGACAAAATCAAATATTACAAGAAATTCAATAAAACCATATCATGCCAATAATTCTAAAATCATTAACTATGTAATAGTCTTAACCTGGATTGGCCTTTATAAATTCTTTTTAGAATCATTTAAAAATTTATAAGATATTTGAACAATCTGCCTTTTCTATTCAAGTCAGTCACATCAGAGTACGAATGTGAAGTCCTACTTTTTAAAATTAAACAATACTCAAAATATTTTTGAAAAATCAAGCTAAACTTTTTATTCATTCCTTAGATTATTTATTATGTAATCAACCCAAGCACAAGTTCAAAAAAGATAATAAAGGTGATTTTCTTATAAGTATTTCATAAAGTTGAAAATGAATTTAGTCGTTGAAGACCATTAGTTGTATTCAGGAAAATTTCATAAACAAATATTATGTTATAATATTTAACTGATAAATTAAAAATAGTAAAACCGTTAAATTAAAGAAATTATTACCAAAAAAATCAATAAGAATTAGAATCAAATATTTTTTTATCCTTAACAGATTTGTATCTAATTCATAACAATCTAAAGTCAGGGACAATTATATACATAGATTCAAAAGATAATTGTTAATAAAAAACATCTTGATCAAGCAATTTCAGATTAATTGCTTTTCATAATTAGAATATAATTATTACTTCATCTTTTTTAATTTAAAAAATCTCAATTCATAATCGTTATAAGAGACAAAGCCAACACTATCTAAATCAAAAATACTTTTAATGTATATTATATATTTCATTTCTTTCTTGCAATAAGGATTGATAATATTAAAAATCCGATTTCGGCCACTTTTTTCAAAATGGAGGTAGAAGAGAAGGACGAATTTTGATATTCTTCAATAGAACTTTGATTTAATTTCAAATTAGTAATTAAATCGGAAGTAACTTTTTCAAATTCTGTGCAATTGATAGATTTTTCTTTTAATTCTGTTTCACTAAAATAGTAATTATGTTCAATTTATCCTTATTTGACAGTAATTTTTAATTTCCATATGTCATCATTCTTTTCAAATAATTATTGTTATATTCCGTGAGATATTCCTATTTATTTATTATTATCATTTTTCTCTTATTAATCAGCTTACAAATTAGAATCTGCTTAGTTTACTCGTTTTTAATCATACTTTTGTTTGTATTCTAAATCAGATAAAATCTATTGATTTAAATTGATGAATGTTTTACTCTGAATGCCTCTTATACGTTTGAATATTTATNTGTAATTGATTATTAATTTTATTATTTATTGATGTATAATAATCAAATTCACATCAATACACATTTATATTTGCTATTAATTAATGATCTTTCATCTCAAAAAATTAATATTCGACAAAATCAAATATTACAAGAAATTCAATAAAACCATATCATGCCAATAATTCTAAAATCATTAACTATGTAATAGTCTTAACCTGGATTGGCCTTTATAAATTCTTTTTAGAATCATTTAAAAATTTATAAGATATTTGAACAATCTGCCTTTTCTATTCAAGTCAGTCACATCAGAGTACGAATGTGAAGTCCTACTTTTTAAAATTAAACAATACTCAAAATATTTTTGAAAAATCAAGCTAAACTTTTTATTCATTCCTTAGATTATTTATTATGTAATCAACCCAAGCACAAGTTCAAAAAAGATAATAAAGGTGATTTTCTTATAAGTATTTCATAAAGTTGAAAATGAATTTAGTCGTTGAAGACCATTAGTTGTATTCAGGAAAATTTCATAAACAAATATTATGTTATAATATTTAACTGATAAATTAAAAATAGTAAAACCGTTAAATTAAAGAAATTATTACCAAAAAAATCAATAAGAATTAGAATCAAATATTTTTTTATCCTTAACAGATTTGTATCTAATTCATAACAATCTAAAGTCAGGGACAATTATATACATAGATTCAAAAGATAATTGTTAATAAAAAACATCTTGATCAAGCAATTTCAGATTAATTGCTTTTCATAATTAGAATATAATTATTACTTCATCTTTTTTAATTTAAAAAATCTCAATTCATAATCGTTATAAGAGACAAAGCCAACACTATCTAAATCAAAAATACTTTTAATGTATATTATATATTTCATTTCTTTCTTGCAATAAGGATTGATAATATTAAAAATCCGATTTCGGCCACTTTTTTCAAAATGGAGGTAGAAGAGAAGGACGAATTTTGATATTCTTCAATAGAACTTTGATTTAATTTCAAATTAGTAATTAAATCGGAAGTAACTTTTTCAAATTCTGTGCAATTGATAGATTTTTCTTTTAATTCTGTTTCACTAAAATAGTAATTATGTTCAATTTATCCTTATTTGACAGTAATTTTTAATTTCCATATGTCATCATTCTTTTCAAATAATTATTGTTATATTCCGTGAGATATTCCTATTTATTTATTATTATCATTTTTCTCTTATTAATCAGCTTACAAATTAGAATCTGCTTAGTTTACTCGTTTTTAATCATACTTTTGTTTGTATTCTAAATCAGATAAAATCTATTGATTTAAATTGATGAATGTTTTACTCTGAATGCCTCTTATACGTTTGAATATTTATCACTATTTGCAGTTTATGATTCTGGATGATATTTCTTAGCCAATTAATAGTAATGGATTCTAATTTAGGATTAATCAGCTGTAGAAGGAAGCTTTAATATTTTGTAGTAATCTTTAGTATAATCTATTTTGGATGAAACTCTTGAAAAAGCTTTGAGGGTTTTGTAAAACATTTTTCTAATAATTTATTAATCTCAAATTGAGATAAAATAATGGATAGTTAATAAGGGTCCAGACTTGTTTCAGAGTAAGGATCACCAAAGTTAAAATTAACTGCTAGCCAAAGAGCTTAGATAATAAAAGAGTTTTTTTCATCAAAAGGCAAATATCCAGTTTTTTCTAATAATCTAATTGACGAAGCAATTAGTTTGAATTTTCTATCATATGATAAAAAAGATAAAATCTTAAGAGATCCAAACAGATTATCAATATTATAAATAGAATTGAATTTAAATTCTCCAAGAACTAAAGAAGCCATTTAATTGATGGAAGTACAAGAAGATTGGTGTCATATAATGTCATTTTTAGATTTTTAAAGTGAGTTTGAACACCCAATAAAATGTTTGGTGGATTATATGGATTATTTATTAGGAAAATCTAGAAAGCTGTTGCAAATAGTTTCTTTAAGAAATAAGCTAAAAAAAATGTATAAAAATAATTCTGCAAATAATAATTTTAACGCTAATACACCAATTACTTAATAAGCATCATCTGTATTTATTACTGATAAAAGAAATTCATTAATTCTATCCAAATCATTAAATACAAGAAGTTTAGATTTTTTATAACAATCATTCGATGATAAATTAGAATAAATTACCTAAAGAAATATCTAGTATCTCAATACTCTTAGAAAACATTAATAACTAGATGAAGAATAAAATTAAAAATTATAAAAATACTATTCTTCTACAATTCCTAATATTGCTAAAAAAGTTGAAAAAGTGAAGGAATTACATCGATTGTAACATTATTATTTTATTAAAGAGAACAGAATTAAAGAAAGCAATTCTAAAAATAAAGGCATAAAAAAACTATAGAGAAAATAGAAAAATTAGAAAAGGAGGATAAATAGCATCGACATTAATTTTAAGAATAGTTAAAACACAAATTTGAGTAATCTGAACTCAATAGAAATTAATTAAACTAGTCTTATGAATAAGAATTATAAGAAAATATGGAAAGAAACAAAAAGAGACAGGAAGAGAGAGATGCTAAAAGATAAAGAGCTAAGGAATTAGAAGAATAAGAAGTTGAAGAAATTATTGAAAGAAACTTAGAAAAGACATAAATGGCAGAAAACTGCTTGAAAAAAATAAGGAATATAATGAAGTTAAAAAAAATAGAATAGGAGAAAAAGATTGAAATCGCAAATAAAAAAGTAGCTGAGAAGTAGTAGGAAAAAGATTAATAAAGGTTATAATATTTTATTTAGATTGCAGATTAAAGTAACAAAATGGTGGAAACTTAAATGCAAATAAGAGCAAAAAGACTGAAAGATTTGAAATTAAAATTTGAATAATAATAATAAATAGTATAAAAGAACAAAAAGAAGATTTTAAAAGAATTTAATTCTAAAATAGAAGAAATAAGATAATAAGAGGAATGTATTAATATTTTTTTTATTTAATTTAGAAATTTAAGAAGATTTAATTAATGAAAATAACACTTTGATTATGTTATCAGCGGATAGGATAAGAGAAACTGATGAAAAGAATAAGCTAAGAATGTAAAGAACAACAAGAATAAATTAAGAGCATGAAGTAAATATTTTTAAATTATAAATTTAAGAAATAACAAGAAAAATGGTTATAAAAGATTATTAGTGAGAAACAAAAGTTGAAAAAAATAAAATCAGATTAGGAGATATTTAAGGATACTATAATCAAACAACATTTAGAGCTTAGAAATACAGTAGATAAATTGATAAAATGAGACAGCTCTGTTTTTGATGATCCCCTTATGCATTTTTATTCAAAGCATTAATATTCTTTCTAAAACTATTTGAATACTTATTAAATTATTTTCATATGATTTAATATAATAGATATATGTGAAAATAAAAAATAATTCATTAATCTTACAATTTTTATTATAAAGTTTAACCATTACTTGTAAAATTATGTAATGTATCATTCATCTATTATCGAATTTAGTTCATTTTAAATTCTAATGAAAGCAATTAGTAATCATCATATATTTTACTAATGATAATCTAATTAATATCCTCTATTGATTAAATCATCATCAATTTGTATTTAACGTCCCTAATTTCATATTGATATTACAATTAATAAAGTCATCTTTTTATATTATTTCTAAGGCAATGGAATCATCAATTTCTACCTTAATAAATTTTTTATAATATCTAATTAGTTTGGCAATAATACAATTCCATGATTTCTTTATCAGTATAAATTTTGTCAGGGATAGTGTAAGCTTTTTTGTGAAATACAGGTTATTTCTTTTGTTTAGGTATTGGTATTCTCATTGGCATTCTGACTTGTCTAATCAAGAGGCATAAATCGTTATTCATAAATTAACGATAAAATAAATAGAGTTCTTAACAATAATATTATTTAAATTTAATGAATAGAAACTTGAAATTAGGTAACAATATTAAATTTAAGATAGGTGAAATCGAAAATCTTTCAAAAATTAAATTAGCTCGGTTTTCAGAGACAGGCACAAGATTCTTTACATATGTTGATGACTTAAATTAGATTTATATAAATAAGATAGAAAATTCAAAAAATTTCTTAGATTTTAAATTATTCAACCCATTTCAAAAGTATTTTGCGTAAAGTCAAAATGAAATTTCAAGCATCATATTTAGTAGTTCTGAAAATGAAATAATAAATGGGTCAAGTAAAGGAATTATCACTTTTGTAGATATTTCAACTTAAAAGAGTATATTATATATTATTAAATACTTAGTTTAAACTAATATTAAGGGACATTTATCATCAATTACATCATTAGCAATATTTCCAAATTAAGAACATATAGTATTAAGTGGTGCAATGGATAGTTAAGTAAAACTTTGGGATTCAAGATCTAAAACTACTGGATTTACATTAAAAGCACATACATTATCAATTAGTGCATTAGTAGTTTCCCCTGATGGTAAATTATTAGCATCTGGTTCAAATGATGGAAGTGTGAAAATTTGGGATATTCATTAACAAAAATTGTTGGCTACTTTTAACGAATCTGATTCTTCCATTACATGTCTATAATTTAATCCTCTTGATAAAGCAATAGCTACAGCATCAGATGATGGATGTATTAAATATTGGGATTTAGATAAATATAATTAGGTAATTTGAAATCTTATATAATAAGATATCTTCAACCAAACCAGATAAATAAACAGTCTATTCTATAAGATTTTGTAATGAAGGAAAATCCTTAATATCAGCATAAAATTTTTCTTTTAAATTTTGGGATTTGGAAAGAGATGCTTTATTATTAGATAATGTTGAAAGTAATTGTAAGGGTATATTGGATACTTATGTATTTGATGACAGAGAATTATATAGTTTATCAACTTAAAATTAAACTGGTCTCAGTGTTTTTGGATCAAAATTATCAAATATAAATTTTAATAGCAGATATAGTATTGATAGACATAAGTAGCGAATACATAGCGAAAGAATATAAAGTTGTGAGATTACCGATTAATTTTAATAGAGAAATAGTGTAAACATTTTAAAGCCTAAGAATTCTTAAAGAATCTTTTCAAATAATGTGAATCTTAAGCCACAGAATTAGAATTTAATTGAAGAATAGGGATTCTAATAATGTAATAATAATAATGGGAATAAATTTGTACCTACAACATAGATACCTCAAATGGTTAGTTACGAAAGTGTTATGTAAGAAGAAGAGATCAAAGAAAACTAAACCATAAATTAAGAGGGTTAGAGCATATTGGATTTAGTTACAAGTTAAGATGAAGTAAATTTATCAAGTTTTGTAATTGATGATGAAAACAAATTGAAGTTTATATAGATAGATTTGATAAATGAGATTGAGAAAGATCACAATAGAGTAAAACAAATATTGAAATAAAGAATAAATTATATGAAACCAATAATTTATTGGTGGAGTAACAATAATTTAAAATCTGCCATAAATGCAATAAATTAATTAGTTGAACCATCAATATTATTTGATGCTTTATCTATGTGTTCTCATAGTTCAAAGTTTAAAATGATACCTATAGAATAAATGCCATAATTATTAGAGAAGTGTAAAATTCTAATCGAGTCAAAATATTTATCCCATATAAAGGGAGGAATAGTTTTTTCTTATAAAACATTTTCAATGTATAGAGATGTATAAAATTGTTATTTAGTAATTAGGATATTTTAACAATAAAATGTTTCAATTAGATGTCTAAAGTAGATTTGAGTAGAGAGGAAAGAGTGGCTAAATATGATAAAATAGTAGAATAATTAAAGTAAATAATTTAAATGTCAAAAATAACAAAATTAATAGAAAGAAATAAGGAAGAGATTAGTGATTTAGCTAAAAAATTTTAAATAGAAATGTTAGGCATGTTAAAAAGAATTAATTAATAATAATGATTATGATTTTTTTTCTATTTATTATTTTTCAGAAAAACTTAGTTTCTGCTTCTTTTTCGACAAACAAATCTCTTAAATATATAATATAAATTAATACCCTTCACCTGCAAAATATGGATACGCACATGTAACAAGAATAATGTTGTATAATAAGTAAACAATAAGAGGAATTGCTGTGCTTTCTTCAACAACAGTAGCTAACATATCTCCTTAAACACAGGATTAATAAATTTTTCCTCTTTTTGATAATTTATCGTCAACTTTCAATAGTAATTGATATATACCTTCATTATAATAACGACTTTGTTTCATAGCTGTACCATTAATAATAGAATAACACATCAGAAATAGTATAATTATTGTATTTCCTAAAAGAAATCCTGGGGTACCTCTCTTACCAAAGAAATATGCAAAAATAAATAATAGTATTGTGTCAGTAATAGTAATAATGAACACCCAAATTATTGCAAGTAAATGTTTACTATCAAAATATCTATTTAATGTGAGAGTGTTTCTTTTGGCTATCTCTGCTGCAATTCCACTTTCATAAATATTAAGATCAAATATTCTAGATATTGAAATCACAGATCCAATAGTCATACCCTTAATTAAGAATGCCAATCCAATTCCAAAAAGAATTCCAAAAATACCATTAAAATCAATCAATGGATTATTGTCGACTTTAAATAAATAGAGTGCACCTCCAAGAAATGTTAATGCTAATAATATGGCTGATCCGGCATTTGTGATTTTTAAATAGATCATATAATTTCTAGCTGCCCATGCCATTTTGGTAAATCTTTCAGATACAACTTAAGTAACATGGGATGCAACACATAATTTAGCTCCATCTTAAGAGAGAGATCCAATATAATAAAGAGGAGTTATTATCAAAACATTTATTAAGAATCCGGCTGCAGCTGCTAAGATTCCTGCATATCCAGCTAATGCATGTGAAGCTGTTGCTATTATTCCTAAGGTTAATACAATGATGATTTATCCTGAAGCACTAAGAAATGTAGCATAATTAAATGATTAGGTCAATATTCTCTCAGATGATGATAATGCCTCTTAATAAATTAATATTTGATACCAAATTTCTAACTGGTTAACATCCATGTGATGTCATCCATTCTCCTATTGATAATAATACTAAATTGCTTAATTGACCCAAAATACAACAATAGGTAATTTTTCTTATAGTAATATCTTCTTTAGCCAATGTTTCAGGTGCTTCAATACCTTTCAATGAAAATTATTTTAGAATTGTAACCATTGGCATAAAAAAGAAAATAAATAATGTCATTAAATGAGTAATCAATACTTATTATCTGATGTTCATTTTTGTGAATCTCACTACTTCATTATCCCAAATCATGCTCTTCATTGTTTAAACAATCACTGCACAAAAGACATTTACACAAAAATATAATGTTGGAGCTAATAAAGATTTCCATGTAATATTTTCTTTGGCTACTTCTTCTGAATTAGAAAATATTACAAATCCTCCAACTGTTAATACGGCTATACATATTGCTGTGTCCAACAAATTTACTATTTATGTACTTATTATGTTAGATATAACATATAATAGTTTAGTAGGTGAGGATATATAAGGATTATTAAAACTTAGATTTCTATCGCATTTCACCAATCCATCAATAGCGTTAAATATACTTCTTCCTAAAATACTAGTGGATTCTCTATATATAAATGCACAAACTATTATTCCTAAAGCATATCCACAACAGCATATCCCCATCAATTGTAATTTATCTTATGGTTTGTTATCATTACTTAATCCTTATAAACTTCTGAACAAAAAGAATAATATTAAGAAAATGAAATAAATTGATGCTATGCACATTAAAACCACGCCAAAGCCTACAGTATACATGAAATCATATAATTCCCATTTATTTTAAATAGCAGTTGATACAATTTTGCATATTGATCTACCTGCAAATGTGTATGCTGTCCATGCAATTATAGATATTGATACAAATCCAAAAAATAAACCTACTATGAATCCTGCTTTAGTTCCAACAGGAATAAACCAGATCTACATAAATATTTACATATTGATACAGTTGCCAACAGAAATAAAATCAATAAGATTAGCGCGTATATCAGTTAAGTAAAGAACATTCCAATTATTGTATTTGATATTTAAATGCATCCATCAGCCAATTCACTTGCATAGTTATGCCTTACCTATTATTATTTGATTGAATACTTCATATTATCTCACTATTTCTTAGGTTTCACATATCAATTCAAATTATTTTGCTAAATGTTGTGGTTCATCATCTCTCTCTGATAATGCTCCACAATATGCCATTATACACCATATTAATGCTAATATAGATGCAAGAATTATTAATATTATTGGCCAATCTGCCATCAAATCTATTCCAACTGCTCCTGCTGTAAATAGCAATCCTAGTCCTAGAGCACCGCATAGATATTTTATACACGTTGCTATTGGACCAAGACACATTCCTAATATGTCACCGACACACATTTATATTAAAAACGAATTAATTATAATCTCATTTTCTATAAAATATTCAAATTCATCCTATATTGTTATTTTTAAATAGCTCCCCCATAACTTATTTATCTTGTTGTAACAAGGCAACCAATTATTCATACCCATTTTCCTATTTTTACAAATTATTACATTACCTCGCCATTTGCACTACCAAATAAATGACCTTAACCATTTTGATTATTACTATCATTATTCTCTTCTTCTGAAGTGACAGGTTCTAATTCTGTTTATAATTATTATAATTATTATTGTTATTATTATTACTGCTATTATTACAATTATTATTATTGCTATTATTATTATTATTACTATTATTACAATTATTATTATTACAATTATTACTATTATTGTTGTTACTATTATTATTATTGTTATTATTATTACTATTAC